CCTGGCCATACTCCTTTGTCCCCCAAAACTCTGAAATACCCACTTGCAACTGTCTCACTCCCAAGGTGTCTATTTAATCCCACTTTTATTAAGAGCACAGCTCCGGGTAGGTTACAGAGGTTACAAACAATGAAGCTTTTATCAAAATTTTGGCTAATCAGTCACTAACAAGCTCTCATTCGGGAAGGGGCTAGGCAGGCCCAGGCTAAAACTAACCTGAGGGGGGGGAAAAAAGGAAAAAGAAAAAAAAAAGGATTGGGGTGAGGGTGTTCCTTTAGAGCTGGATCAGGTCTGAAGCATTTCTGCCCACAGAAACACTTGTGTGAGCACAGCAGACAGAAAAAGCAGCCAGGAGTGGACACAAAGCAGAACTGCTTCTTTCAGCGATGGTGTTCGCTCACGACAGCCTAAAGTGCTGGAGTAACTACGGCTTGCGATAAACTACCATTTATTCCTTGCTTTGTGGCGGAATCCAGGGGCTCCATCACGCTCAGCACCATATAAATGCACCGGGAAAATATTTGCTATTCCAAAATGCTAACCCTCAGTCTGCAGCCTGCAGTGTTTTTACGGAGACCGTGAACTAGAATCAAAACCAAACCAAGCCTATTGTCGGTAGCCTGAAAACTGTGGAATGAGGACACCTCCCCAGGAAATGTTGCAGGGTCTGAAAAATCAAGAAAGATTTGAAAACCTCTGATCTTATCATAAGGTAAGTTGGCAAAATTTGATCGCCAGAACTTCAGTCCAATAGATGACTAGATACAGGGAGGGAGGAATATACATTATTCTCCTTAGGTAAGGGATAAAAGTTACTTCAACCTGTATACACGTACACAGAACACCCTTCCCAAATTCATGGCAGTGAAACATCTATTGCACACCATCAGATACTCTCTGTTACCCATTTGCAGGACAAATCAGAGGTTTAGTGAAAAAAGAGACTTTCTTAGAGCATATTAATAGGTGTAAAGTACCCAGTCTAGGAAGGAATAGGCTTAGCTGTAAATAAGGGAGTGGTACTAGAGCTTAAATTTAATTTGAGCTGTTCTTAGTCAATTCCTTGATATTCTTGAGAGTGGAGCCACTGTACTGGACCACTGCAAGAGAAAAGATAATTCTCCCGCCTTGTCCCTGAGGATGAAGAACTCATTCCCAATTTCATCAATTACTCTGGAGAAAGATATAAAAGAATTCTTCATGTGCAGACTGTATGTGGGCCATAGAGTTACTGCCTTGCCTCTTGCCAGCCCTGGAGAAAAAGTGAGACTTACATTGCAAATGCAGCCAAAACAAATCAAACCTGTGGTTCCTGCTTCACTGCAGCAATTCGGAGCCACTGAAGGGATCCTGGTGTCTCTCCTACTGGTAAAGTCAACAGCAGCCAATATGGGCTATTAGGTCCCGATCCTCCAACACGTTCCCTGTGCCTAGACCTCAGCATCCTCGGGAAACGCAGAGAGACCCAGGTGGGTGCAGGTATCGGTTCCCGCTGCGAGGCTGGGTGCTCAGGTCTGAAGCATTTTCAGGTTTCCGTGTTCAGCTGTACACACCTGAGATTCACAACAGGAAAGTTAAGCCTGTACCTACATGTTCAGAGGAGCAGGGCCTTAGAGGCAAAGACAGTGTCTTCTTAGCAGGGGGAAACGCGCTTGCCGCACGCACAACAAGGACAAGCACAACACCAAAGCGAACAGTGTGGCTAGCACAAGGCAAGGATGGGGAGGACCTTGCTTTCCTGCAGCATTTTTCCTCGGGAAGTCTTGAAACACTTTCCAAGGCAGCTGGCTGGAGAAGTTTGCACGTAATCGCAGCTGGCTGGGGATACGGTTCAGCCCCGACTCGCAGGTGCCATGGGCTCCCCTACCCAGCAGACCTCACTGCCACACTCGTAATGCCAATGCTAACAAATGTCCCAGTGACTCGGTAATAACAGAGTAATTTCACAGCGTTGCTCAAGCCCAACCCCGAATCTGCTCGCAGTGAGGGACAGTAGCCTCCGACCCTTACCTTGAAAGTGATTTCAGTTTTGTGTTTTGGCACCTTGCTTGCCAGCTTCTCGGTGCGTTTCTGAAAGGCAAACGGCTCCCAGACCTCTCTGGAAAAAAGCAGCGTTTAGAAAGCAGAGAGGCAGAGCGCTGGATCGCTTCATGCTGCTCTCCTCGTGCCTTGGCAGAAGGGAACGGCAACAGGTTTGTACTGAGAGCTGACGATGTTTCAAGGCAACACTGCATGCTGCTTGCAGGATAAACGCATTAAGAAAATTAAACATTTTTACAGCTGTCACACCATCAAAGCTTTATTCTCTCCACTCTTTAAGTGTTGGTTTGCATATCCGTGCCATCCCAGCTATGTAATAACCTCTCTAAAGCTATTTTTTGTTTTACATTCCTTACTATTTGGTAAAGCAAGCTGGAGTTTTCTGAGGACACTCTTTTTTAGAAGAACTAATTCAGCATTATTTTCTCACCCGTTTCCTTTGTTGGAAGCAGAGAAATCAACTAAGGAAAACCCAAAGTTAGCATACCATGCCTCTGAGGGAAACTGCCTTCCCCACCTCGTCATAGCCGGGCTGTTCCTCTAGATGGCTCTGCCTTTGCCCAAATACATCAAATCCCTGAAGCAAAAATCGCAATTTCGAGCGATATGGCGATACCACTGACTGCTCCTCTCCCTCCTGCAACGATCGTGGGTTTTTTGAGCAAACGGATAAACACAGATTTGTTGTAATTGTAGAGAATAACATTTTCGGCTTAGCTCTTCAAACACAGAGGGAAGCTGCTTTTTAAAAATCTACCTGCTTCTTGTCCTTTAGATGCCCTTTCCAGTTGTGATTTCCCCTTAAACTGCTTGTTTTAGATGCTTGTTGTCCGGTCAGTCTTCAAAGCAGCATTTTCCAGTGCGACCCTTCTCCAAAGAGATGAGGAGCTGTTATAAATGATAAAGGCAAGGAAGCTGAGAAGGGAAAAAGCACCTTGCGAAGCATAATGTAAAATTTTCTCCTGTTGTTCTGGCTATCCAAATACACACGGTTAGCTCTTTCCCCAAAAGATGCAAAATCAAATCAGCAGCAGCAACAGTGACAGAAACACAGTAACAGAAAAAAACCCCACCCCCCCTCAAAAAAACCCAAAACACCAAAAAACCCAAAACCCCAAACACTTCCCCTTATGATTAAAGGAGGAAACCCAAAATCCTAATTCTTTATCACACTCACTTTTAAGTGATTCTGTCTCCAAACTGTCTGTCCACTTTTTTTAAAACGAAATATAATGGTGAAGATCCTCCAGTTATTACATCCCTGCTTAGATCACACGAGGGATGACAATTTGGGATTGGAGGTAGCCCAGGAAAGCCGCCCCGATTCAGCTTCACTGATTTACATGTGCGTTTATAACTATTTTATCGAAGCCATAAAACGCAAAGACTTTTCCCAAACGCTCCTCTCTCCCCAAAATCCTGATGTCAAATCAAGACACCCGGCGCTTGCAACCCTGGGGAGAGCGCTTCGCATCTGTACCTGGAAAGGGGATTTTTAGGCATTTTTACCAGCAGAAAACTGAGTAACAATCCCGTTTAAGACCCGGGGATTTACGTCTTCTAAGCGACTGACAAAGACTCTCTAAATTCTCCCGCACCGTTGACCGTATTTTTCCTGTTATATCGTGTGCTTTGCCCCGGACGAGAAGGATTTGCCGGGGCTGGTCCCCGTACAAACCCCGGGGTGTCGGGATCGTTACGAATACCGAGAGCTTTTTCTCCGGAAAAGGACGCGCTTTCCCTCAAGCTCCCGCGAAGCACGAAGGCGAAAATCAACTTTTATTCATTAAATCGCGCCCCGCGACTGCCAGCCCTTTCCTCCCGCAGTACGAGCGAACACGCCAATGTTGGTTGCTTGTTTAATTTCGGGCAATTCTTTATCCAAAGCTAATTAACTGCGATCTCAGCCCCGGTTGTTGTGAGACGGGCGGCAGCATTACACATAAATAACAGAGTTTAAGCGAATTTCATCCTTCGCGTTCCCGTCGGGGCAACCGCAATGATGCTAATCTCCCCCAGACCTCAATTTCGCGGCCCGTTTCGGGGCCGAAGGGATCAGGGACGATCGCATCCGTGGGAAAGGGGGATCGGATCCCTGAGCGCCGGGGCAGCGCGGAGAGCCCCGGGGAAGGGGCGGCCGGAGC